TCAGTGAGGAGCTGGAAGCTGACCTTGCTTCTGGAGACCAGTCCTTACCCATTGGAGTCCTCGGGACTCAGAGTGAGCGCTTCCCATCCAACCTGGAGGTGGAGGCTTCACCACAGGCTTCAAGTAAGGCACAAAGTGCATTTGGGTTCTAGTTCTGTCCATCTCAGCACTTAGACATTTTAGACTCGTACTCTAAGTGGGGGAGAAGCAGGCATGGGCAAAGGAACGTTGCTGGAACAAACAGAGCTGTGGTGGGCCCTTTTCAATATGCTCTGCTGGAAGTAGCTGTGTTTCCTCCATAGAGACTTCCAACCAACTGCAGACAAAAGGGATGAGATTGTTCTACCCTGTTTGAATACGCTGCTCTCTTGTAGGTTATAGCTGTGATGACATTGGGAACCTGGACCACTGGTTCATTTTAGTTTTGGGCCATTACATTTGTATTTGTTTGGTTATTGAGACGGGGTCTTGCCATACAGTCTAGGTGGGTCTGAAATTCAAGTCCTCCGGCTTTGGCCTCCCTTGTGCTGGGATGACTGGGCTACACCACATGCTGCCTGCTTCACTACCCAAGTCAGTTACGTTGCAGATTAGTTTGGATACTTGTTTACAAACGTAAATGCATAAGAAATTTAAATATCAATCCTCAAATGTGACCCAAAGAAAATTAGGCCAGTGTCAGACATGCTGAAAAGAGGCTTTTGGCCAAGGAAGAAGTAACAGTAACAGCAGAGCTGTATTAGCAGGATACAGAGAGGGAGGGGCATCCAGGACCATGTCCCTTGTCAGGAGAAACAAGCAGGGAACAGATGTCAGCATCATGCAGTGATCAGTTTTCAGAATGCAGGAGAGGTCCAGAGAGAGTCTCCGATAAAAGGCAGGCAAATAAGAAGACAGCCCCATAAAAGGAAGGAGAGAGCTCGGGAGACGGCTCAGTGGGTAGGAGAGCTTACTGTGCAAGCGTGAGGGCCCGGGTTTGAATCCCCAGCACCCGTGTAAAAGGAGTGGGTGGCTATGTGTGCCTCTAATCCTGACACCAGGAAATGGAGTCAGGTGATCCTAAAAGCTTACCGGCCAGCCAGCCTTGTAAAAACAGTGAGTTTCCAGGTCAAGGCAGTAAGAGCAACAGAAGAAGATTCCAGCATCCTTCTCTGGCTTCTGCATGCATGTAGGTATGCACACATACCTGCAGGTTTATTTGTGTCACACACACACACACACACACACACACACACACACACACACACACACACACACACACACACACGGGAAGGACAGCATAAACTATCTGAGCAAGGCCTGGAACTGTATCTACCTTTGAACATAATCTTTCCACCCAGTCTTACTTTCCTGGTGAAGGGAAGTGGAGAGGAAGCTGGTAATTTGGGGGTGACATTTTGAACCGTGGACGTCCTCAGTCCATGTGTGGAACAGCAATGAAGCCAGCGCAGAGGATGCTTGTCAGCCCTGGATGGGAGTCCGTTGTTCTGTTTGGCCCCCATGGGTTCATACTCTTCCCCTTCGTTCTAGGTGCAGAAGTAAATGCTTCTCCTCTTTGGAACCTGGCTCATGTGAAAATGGAGCCTCAGGAAAGTGAAGAAGGCAACGTGTCTGGGCATGGGGTGTTGGGCAGCGACGTCTTTGAGGAACCAATGTCAGGCATGAGTGAAGCTGGAATCCCGCAGAGCCCCGAGGACTCGGACAGCAGCTATGGTTCCCACTCCACGGATAGCCTCATGGGGTCCTCCCCCGTTTTCAACCAGCGCTGCAAGAAGAAGATGAGGAAGATTTAACTGCAGGACCTTCTGGTCCAGACCTGCATCAGCAGCAGAGAACCTCGATGTTCAGATTGTTTCCGTAATAGTGATTGGATTCTTATTCTGAAATACAGTGGGCTTTCCTAATTTCAGAGAAAAGGTTTTAGCCTGGCTACATTTCATGTTGGCACCATTTTTGTGCTTTTTCAGAACAACAGAGCCACTGTTCACACACCGACTGTGATGCTGGCAGTAGTCAGACCAAAGCACGGTCCCCGGCTGTTATCTTCCTGTGGGACACACACGTTCTTAGCTCCTCTCGGCCATCTCTCTGGCACATTTGGGAAGAATCACGACACTTTGATGTTCCCTGCAGAGGTATGAAGCCGAGATGTTCTGCTTAAACGTCAAAGCTTGTGTGCATTCATTCACATCGATATACGCCATTAGAGATGTCAGGTTCATTCATTTATTTTGGGTCAAGTCATGAGAATCCAGTAGTAATACAGAAAATAGCTAAACATAACATCAGTCGTGTTTCAAAACTCTTTTTGCTACTCAAGCCTCTTACAAAATGAGGGCCCTGTGGTGACAGCCTTATGTAAACAGTGCTTTCCCCACAGCTCTTCCTTTTCTGGATTATTCCATCCAGCCTCATCCTTTTTACTTTTAGTATGCTTTCTGTTGACAGAGACTTTCAAGTATTTTCACCACGCACATTTCCAACTGCTCGTTTTCTCCTTTGTGAAGGATGCAAACAGGACCTGCTACAGTTGGTAGATGGGCAGCATTTGGTTTGTTCGAGGTTGTTCTTTATTGTTTATTTTGTTTTGTTGTTGTTTTCTTGAAGAAGACATCTGAGGAGCCAGAGAGATGGCTCAGTGGGTAAAGGCACTTGAAACGGGAGTGTTTGATCCCCAGGACCCACATGGTGCCTGGAGAGAACTAACCCCTCCAAGTTGTCCTTTGGCCTATATACATGCCATTGTGCATTCCTGCACACACACACACACACATAAATAAATTATTTTTGAAAAAAGTCATTTGAGTTATCCCAGTTCTTTTTAAAATTCTCTGACCACGTACATAATAAATGTTTCCCTTCTTCCGACCAGTTGCGCCCCACCCCTTCATTTCTTGTGTGTGTGACCCAGTTTATCAGAGTTGGCTCAAGTGTGGGTGAGAACTCACTGGAAGAAAAGCGACCTAGCAGCAGCTACCTCACTGAGGAGAAGCACACCCCTCCCCTCAACAACCAGTCCTGCTAACAGGCCCTCGGAGGGGTGGGGTCTCAAGGGTGCCCTCTCATCACCGTGAAATGTTGGCAGGCCTATCTTGTGCAGGTAACCAGTGCTAGAGTGAGTCCATGAGTACAATGGCTACATCATCTTCAGAAGGTATCTTTTTGCTGTCCATCTCCCATCCTCTGGTTCTTAAATTCTTCTCACCCCGCTTCTGTGACGGTCCCTGAGCACAGGGGTGTATGTGATACAGATGTGTCCTAATTAGCACCTCACTGCCACTTACTCTCCACACTTTGGCCAGTTACAGGTGTCTGCATTAACTGATGCCCACTGCCATAAGCTCTGATGAAGGCCAAGCATAGCTCTATTTCAAATGGTAAACGAGTTTAGGTCAAAGGATAGGCATGTTCCCTTCCTCAAATGCCAAACCAAGGTTAGAGGTTGAGCCCCCTACCTTGGAATGTGTTTCCGGGTTTATTACGTGCATGTGTGCTAGCGCATGTGGGTGGGGCTGTGTATGAGGTCAGAGACAACTGCGCAGTCAGTTCTCTCCTTCCACCTTCACAGGGGCTCCAGGGACCGAACCCATGGCGTCAGGCTGGCATAGCAATGCCTTTAACCCACTAAACCATCTCGCCATCAAAGTTTCAGGGTTTTTAAAGACAGCCACATCGGGTACCTTAGACTGGCCTCCTGAAGTTATAACTTATTCTAAAATATTTATGAATTTACAAACTAATCCTTAACACTCTTAGAATCTACCCCGTTTTGATCTTCATTTTCATGAATGAAGTGGCCAAGAGGCATTGTATGTACAGTGTTTAGTTCACTTACTTGGGAAACATTCATTAAGCACATCCAAATACTTTAAATCTCATACAAGTGGCATAAAGACAAGACCCTACAGAGCTGAGACAAGTAACATTTTAAGAGAGAAATAGGTAAGAGGAGGCACCATGGAGAAAAGCCCAGTATGTTCAGAGTATTGCTTTGCAAATACTTTCCCCTTAAGTAGGTCAAGCAAGTATAGCGGCCCAACCCTATAGACGCAGCATTCAGGAGGCAGAGGTGGTCTGGGATACAAGAAAGGTCCTCTTTTTCTTTCTTTTTTTTTTTTTTTTTTTTTTTTTGGTTTTTCGAGACAGGGTTTCTCTGTGTAGCTTTGCGCCTTTCCTGGAACTCGCTTTGGAGACCAGGCTGGCCTCGAACTCACAGAGATCCGCCTGGCTCTGCCTCCCGAGTGCTGGGATTAAAGGCGTGCGCCACCACCGCCCGGCTTTCTTTCTTTTTTTAAGACAGGGTCTCACTAGGTAGCCCTGACAGGTCTCGAACTCACAGAAGCCCACCTGTTTCTGCCTCCCAAATGCTGGGACTAAAGACGTGCACCACAACGGCATGACATCAGGCAGAAAGGCTTTAAAAAGGAAAGATCAGAGTTTCCCACTAGGTATGGAATATTGAATAATTAATGGTAAAATAAAATTCTGTGTTGCCCTGAAATAATACTGGAGAACAGGCACCAAGTCAAGAAAGACTTTGAAAAGACAAGTTATGAGGACTGGTAGCTGATTCATCTGGCCTGGGATTAAGTCGTAGGCTGAGTTGGAACAGTGTTCTGAAAGTCAAGCACACCCCAGTCACCTGGAGGGCTTACTGAACAGTCTGCTGAGCCCCCACCCCATTTCTGGTGAAGCCGATTTGGAGATAAATCAGTAAAACTTTCCTGGCTGATGATCTTACTTCCAGTCCAGAGACTACACTCAGAACCAGGGCAAACCCTTCTGGTTATGTTATTGAATGGATACCTAGCTAAATCCTGTGGTCACAATGCTTTACACTGTTCTAAGGACAATATAAACAGGACCTGGCTAGGTAATGCACATGGGAAACTAAATGACACATTACATCCTGCCAGACCTGCCTTTAAAGCTCGGTTCTAACTAACGGTGAATTGATTAGTGATCACGTAATTTCTAACTTGAAATCATGACAGACAGGCTTACCACAAAGTTAAAAACTTTATCCAAGTCACCCTTCAAACAGAACTCTTTATAATGTTAGCTCGTGAGAGCACATCTCATACCAGCTCTGGCTGCCAAGGGCACTGCACTGCCCCTCTGTTTGAGGTTGTCCCCTCCCATCCTGTTTAAGAACAGAGGCAAAAGCACAGTGCTAAAGAAGCTGAGTCCACAGTCCAGCCTGGTCAAGACCCAAAGTCGTCTTCAGAACTGTCCCATCAGCAGCAAGTACTTGAGTTCAAACAATACAACTCCAAGTTTTAGGCTCAACAGTTATCAGTTTCCAGAGCGGTGAGAACACACTTCCTTGTATAAATACCAGGAGAAGTTCCCAAGGATGGGCACCCACCTGCCAGCTCCAGCTTCAACCCTGACTTCATCTAAGTCCGGTTTCCCTCAAAGAAGTCACTATCCTGGAGAAACTGCTCTTGCCTGCAGCCCTGACTCCCAGGAAGGACCTCTCTGTGGAGACCCAGCATGTCAGACTCAGGAACAAGTGGGATGGGCTACTTGTTTCTCTTCCAATGTTGTGCCATTGATTCTTGCATGAAGTTCTGAAACGCTGGCTCTTCACGGCTTTCCTCTGTAACTGTAGGAGAAAAGGGTGCTCCTTTAAAACGCTCGGGGTACGACAAGCAAGTCAGCCCTGTCACCCACCCGTCAGAAACCACATTTGAAAATTATTCTTCCCTTTTTCAAGACAGGGACTCACTATAGATCCCAAGCTGGCCTGGAACCCAAAGTTCTCCTGCCTCAGTCTCCACCACTGGGTTCCAGGCATGTGCCACCACACCTGGCTGAAACTACTTTTATGGCATTAAGTACTCACACTTCCATTGATGAAACGGCTTCTAGAAGCATGCCTTATTTATCAAGTTGCCAAAGTGTGCAGCAGCTAAGAGAACATCCCCTTCATAAATAACTAAAAGGAGGTCTACTTAGGGAGGCAAGAGACAGAAAAACATCTAGAGTAGAGTTAGCCACTGCCTTAGCTACCCAAGAGCTAGGAATAAGTAGGGAACCGCCATATTTGACTGTTAAAGATCCAAAACAAATCACTCGGGCTGGAGAGGTGGTTCAGCGGTTAAGAGCACTGGTTGCTCTTGCATAGGCCCCAGCTTTGTGCCCAGCACCCACGTGGTGGGTCACAACATCTGTACCTCTAGTTCCAGGGGACTTCTGACCTCCACGGGGACCAAGTATTCATATAGTGCGTACATAGACATGCAGGCAAGACATTCACATACATAAAGTAAAAATAAATACATCTTTTAAAAAACCCAACATTAAGGACTCAGGATGTAGCTCAGTGGCACATGCTTTTAGCAAGCAGGAGGCCCTGGAGTCCATCCTTATCACCAACTAACCAACACAGCAGTAACAGAAACAGTGGCATCTGCAGATGAGTCAGAAGTTACAAGACATAAAAGGCATGGGACTGGGGTTTTGGTATCCTGCCCACTGTGTGTAGACCGTTCCCTAGACAGGGCTCCTGACTGTCTTGAGAGGAAAATCACGCGGAGGGCACTCGAACAGTGAGGCTGTATGGATGCACTGCTCTCTGTTCCTGATTGTGGATGTGAGGGAAGTCCCTGCCTTGACTTCTCATAATGATGGAACCTGGAATTATGAAATAAACCCTTTCAACACTAAACTGCTTTCTGTCAGGCTATTCCGTCACAGCAAGGGAACACAAGTAGACCATGGGGCATAAATGTATATATGTAGAACATACAGGGAACTTTGTTGGCACTGTTTAGTTTATTAACATCCTCTTTCCTGCCATTGACCACATACTCAGATCTTCAAAGTCTCCACAATGTCAATCCCGAGCAGAGTGCCGCTGCTGTCTCCATCAGCGACCTCTCACCTCTGTGGTCAATGTCATCCGTGTCACTTTCCGCCTCCTCATCCTCTTCATCCAAGGTTCCTCGAGTCAGGATCAAGTCAGAAGGGTCCAGCACAGGAGAGACACTGTCTGTGGTTAAAACACTCGTCAGTACAGATGCATCTTCAAGAGCTGCTTCTGAGTAATTATGACTATCCATTGGCAGCATCAGAGTGCTCTTGACAAACAGAAGGCAGGAGAGTGAGTCTTCCACCTGTCATTTCTACCAGGGCTTAGTTCACAAAGCACTTTCATGAGCCCCCTTATTTCCACTGAGGAAAACATAAGAAACGTATCCCTCAAACACCAGCACTCTGCCTCACTAGCTCACAGACTAGAAGGAGCTGGTTTTTTCCAATGAAAGATAAAGAAATATAAGGTTGCAAACTGGCAATAGTTTAAAGACTGTAGAAGCTTCTGGGTGGGATACAGGTTCAGGGGAGGTCTGAAGAAAATACAGGGTGAGATGATATGGAATAGAGCTGCCATGGCAACCTTCAAGCAATGGAAGGGGGTAAAAAAAAAAATATGGCGCAGCCATATCTGATGGGAACGGCATAAGTCATAGGCCAGTCCAGCTGCTTGACAAAGATCCAGCAGAGCTGAGCCACATGATGGCCGCCATGCCACCTTTGGTTTTCATCTCCACCTGTTGCATACTTAGAGGACTTTTAAATTTGGGGATGTTGGGTTGATGGAAAATTCCTTATGAATCATTTATGCCTTCTCCCAGGAATGCTGCTTCTAAGGTTCCCCAGGAAAGTCCTGAACATACTACCCCTCCCACTTTTAGGGAGACATATATCCTCATCTACTTGAAGGTCTTGTTACGCTTTGGAGGTTGTGACACACTTAAAGAAGCCAGAGGTCTCTTTATGAGGCTATGAGACATTCTTGAAACATCTATCCCTGTACTTACTTAGGGACAAAATATTCAAAACAAAGTAAACTTAAAAAGGTTAACAAGGTTCGGTGGACGAGAAGAATTGCAAGCCTCTTCCCACTATATACTCAGGCAATTACGTGGTATATACAGCAACAAAGTTAGACTAGCTGGAGTCGCCTCTGCCCTACACAGGGACTTATACTGATAAGAAAAGAATGAGTGGAAAGATGATAAGAGAATGAGATGTCAGGACCTCCCTTTCTTAGAGAAGTTAGCTCATGCAGAGTCACTGTGGCGTCATTTGACCAAGGAACAAAAAAATGCCAGGATTAGACATATAAAATTCTATAAAGATATAAAATATAAACATTGTTTTATGCCAAAATTTAAATAATAACTGCAGCAGCTTTGGCCTGAGGACTTTTCTTGGGCACTCTGACCATTAAGAGTTAATAATACACTGCTTGGGACACGGCAACATGCCTGGGCGTCCTTGAAGCACCCAGATCTACCAGCCTGAAACCAGGCTGTCATATGCCTTTAGATTCTTAAAAATTGGGTTATGGGGTTAATGAGTAAAAATGGCTATAAAAGATAACTGTTTATCAATGATGTTAAAACTTGAGGGAAAATGATTGGAAATGATAACTCTGTCCTGTCATAGTTTATTAATGATGACTAAAAGATGAGCAAAAGAAGCCGGGCGGTGGTGGTGCACGCCTTTAATCCCAGCACTCGGGAGGCAGAGCCAGGCGGATCTCTGTGAGTTCGAGGCCAGCCTGGGCTACCAAGTGAGTTCCAGGAAAGGCGCAAAGCTACACAGAGAAACCCTGTCTCGAAAAACCAAAAAAAAAAAAAGATGAGCAAAAGGAAGTGAAACCCATGTCCAAAGACAAAAATGATATGATCTATGTTTTGGAACAACATGAATCTATCTCTGCTTACTAAATTCTGTATAAATAAAGGAGCACTCTTTATTTATTTATAGCTGCAAGATTCTCACCACCACCATGGCCTGGCTTACCTCCCTCACTCGCCAACTCCTTACATCCTCTGCAGGGACCTGTCCACCGCCAGGGATGGCTCCCAGCACAAATATACTATTAGAGGTAAAATTCCCTACTTAGTGGATAAGGACTAAACCCTAAGAATGGGAAGAAAGTCTGATCCAGAAATTCCTGGCCCAGGACTCATGAGGTTGTGACCACTGACCACTGTTCCAGAGATTATCAGGCTACAGAGCTCAGCTATGGAGGGGTGGGAGACAGGCTGATCTCAGTGGCCAGCCAGGCATGGTGGCACACACCTCCAATCCCAGCACTTGAGGAGCAGAGGCAAGCAGATCTCTGTGAGTTCAAGGACAGCTTGATCTACAGAACAAGTTCCAGGACAGCCAGAGCTGTATAGTAAAATCATGTCTTGGGGGGAAAAAAGAGACCTATGACTTTAATAGAACAATGATGACAGAATATGCTGACAGTGTATGTCCTTCTACACCTAACTAAGAATAACCCAAATGTACTAGAGATTTTTCTCAAATCATCCATGGACTCTCCTTCCCTTCCCATCTGGATGCAGCAGCAGATTTAACTCTGGAGGACCTCGGTGTATACACACTCGAGATGGGGAGGTGTCAGGAATGGCCCAGGAGCATTCATGTCACTGGCTACCCAGGCAGGTTTCCCAGCTTGCCTATTCTCTGATGAAAACAAGCGAACGAAGGTCACAACAGACGCTTCTTTCTTTTAATAAGGTACCCAAGAAAAAAATGTTGCTATATGAAGAAAAAACAAAACTAAAGCATATAATTTATTGTCACAATAAATACATAAATAAAATGGAACTTATTATATTATTAAAAAATAAAGTCCCTCTATTTGGTTTCTGGGTCCCACAGAGTTGCAACAAATTTCCACCCTGCTTTTTGTGGGCAGTCCATCTTCTTGCCTCTAGAGGAGATGGGGTATATATGCATTTTAGACTTACTGCTTTTGTGGTGTGTTTTGCCTACATGTATGTTTATGAACCACATGTAAGCCTGATGCCCATGGAGGTCAAAAGAGAGTGCTGGCTCCCCTGAAACTGGAGTGGGTGGCTATGAGCCATTATGGGGGTGCTGGGAATTAAATCCGGGTTCTCTGCAAGAGTAACAAGTGCTCTTAACCGACGAGCCATCTCTGCAGCCCCAGTGGTATTTATTATTTAATATGAGCACATCCTAGACACTCCCCTCTGAGGGTCAGTGATAAGAATAACAGACAGAAGGAAGGAAAGGGGACAGATGAGGGAAGAACCAAGAGTGAGGCAGCAGGATCAAAGACTGAACACAGAACACAACCCAGACCCACACCGTTAGAAGACCGAGCTGCTTAAAACAGTAACGACACTAATAAGGAAGACAAAACCCACTGCATAATGTAACAAGAAATATGCAAAACATACTCAGGATAACATTCCAGAAAGACACAAGACCTGCCAAATACAAAAATTCTTCCTGCTCTCGAGGAGGAAGGTGCGAGATCAGACAGGTCAGTTCTTCCTGAGCTTTGTAAGCAGCACAAGGCAATCTCTTTACAAATGCCAAAGCCTTCTAGGAGGCCGAGAAGCTGATGAGAAGTGCATGTGGAGCAGCAAAGCAGGGAGAGGAACAGCACCAGGGAGACCAGCCTGAGCAGACACCGAAGCGTTTCGTAAGTAAAATGTGCAGGCATGTAAGGAAAGAAGCCAGCAGAATAAACAGGAAGTCCAGGATAAGCTCAGTGGATAAGGGCTCTCAATCCCAACCCTGATGAGCTAAGTCTGCTCTGAAGGGAAATGGTTGCACCTAAGTAAGGCCATGTATTAGACAATAGTGTCTCCATGCTGATCTCCTCATTGTTCCTCATTGTACAGGGGTGTTTTGTTTTGTTTTGGTTTGGTTTTTTGAGACAGAGCTTCTCTGTGTAGCCCTGGATGTCCTAGAACTCTGTAGCCCAGGCTGGCCTCGAACACAGAGATCTGCCTGCCTCTGCCTCCCAAGTGCTAGGATTAAAAGTATGCACCACCACCTCCTGGCTATACTGAGGTTTTATAAAATAATATCTTTATTTTTAGGAAGTATACACAGAAGGATTCAAAATAAAAGATCATCATATTTGCATGAGTTTTAAATAATATGTAAAATTCAGTTATAACGCACTGTTAAAAACAAACAAACAAACAAACAAGCCAGAGCCCTTTGCCAAAGTACAAAACTTCCAAAAGGACCTCAGAGCAGTGTAAGGTGCACACCACCCTTGGGTACTTTCTGTCCCGGGTCACTTTGCAGATCCGTGTACGCTCGTCTCCCATTGCCCCATCCTTTCCCTTGCTCGTTTACACATAGATTGCTGCTGAGTGCTCCACCCCTATTCTCTGCCCTCACCAAGCGCCCTTCCGATACCTTTGCCGGCCCCTGTGTCCAGGGCTACGGAGCCCATGTCCTTCCGAAGACGCTCCAATTGCTCCTTCTGCTGATCACTCTGGGCACTCGCCTATAGACGGAGGGAAGGAATGTCCTCAGGTTAAACCAGCAGATCCCGGGCTGGTGAGATGGCTCAGTGGTATAAGTACTTGGAGCCACGAGGGATGACCTAAATCCCATGTGTGGACCCCACGGGATAGGAGAGAATGGACTCCCGCAAGCTGTCCTATGACCTCCGCATGTACTCTCCCAATACCAATAAACTTAAAAGACTGTAACTTTTTTTTTAAAGGAGATCTCTGGGGCAGGGTTTGTAAGTGAGAAGCTAGGTGCTCAGCAGACGTGAAGCACTGGTTTCAATCTCCAGAACAAAGAAATAAAGCAAAGTAAATTATAAATTATTATAATAATATATATAATATATAGATGCATAAATTAGATGCCAGTTTGTTTTTTTTTTTAAGGTAGGGTCTCATGTAGTGTAGGCCACCCACCCCAAAACTCTCTATGTAACCACGGATGATGCTGAACTTAATAGGGTCCACCACCTAAGAACAAGCACAATACATGCTAAAAAGACACTCAACCAACTGAGCTGGGTCCCCAGCCCCAAGATGGCACCCTTTTAAGAAGAGATTAGGAATTATAAAGTACTAGAGGCTGGTAAAGAATGGCAGATATGGAGACAAAACCAGTGAGTCATGTGGGCCCAGGTGGCAGCAGATTCTCAGTCATGCGCTGAATGAACTCATTCAGAGCTTCAGGGCTTACACCCAAAACCATGACCAAAGAACCCTCAAGTGGAGCTTGCAAGGCCCTTGGAGAAAGGACCCAATGCAGGCTCTGACAATGGGAGAGACTTAAGTTAGCATTTGGGACGAGAGCTGTGTGACACCCTCTATTCTTCAAAACCCTACAACAAGCCTTAAAGCTGACCTCAGAGACTGGGTGAGGTAGGGCATAAAAAGGTCTTGGTAAATATATTTCAGCAAAACTCTGATATTTTAAAAATTCAGATACAAGCCGGGCGGTGGTGGCGCACGCCTTTAATCCCAGCACTCGGGAGGCAGAGCCAGGCGGATCTCTGTGAGTTCGAGGCCAGCCTGGGCTACCAAGTGAGTTCCAGGAAAGGCGCAAAGCTACACAGAGAAACCCTGTCTCGAAAAACCAAAAAAAAAAAAAAAAATTCAGATACAAAGCCTGTGTGGTGCTCAGAATGAAATCCCAGCACTCAGAAGGATGAGGCAAAAGAAGGATAAACATTTACATATGAAGAGAAGAAAGGTTGCTGGGAGGCCTTTCTGCATACAGACAGTTACACACAGCCTTACCAATGTCAATGAACAAGGGTTTGAGATGGGGTGTGGTGTCACAGGCCTGCAGTCCCACCTGCTCAGGGTGGCTGAGATAAGAGAGCACTAAAGCCCCAGAGTTTTAGACCAGCCTGGGGTACGGTTGAGACCTCAACTCAAAACCAAACAGAGCTGGGCACACAGCTCAGTGTGTAGAGCACTACCAAAAACGAAGAAACAAAAAAATGCAAGAATTTAAAAGAAACACTGAAATTCCATCAGTCAATTATATCTCAATAAAGCTGGGGGGGGGGGGAATAAAACACAAGCCAAGCAGTGGTGGCACGTCTTTAATCCCAACACTCGGGAGGCCAGAGACAAGCACATCTCTACGAGCGTTTGAGGCCAGCCTGGTCTACAGAGTGAGTTCCTGGACAGCCTGGGCTACACAGAGAAACCCTGTCTCCAAAACCTTCTTTCATTCTCATCCCTCCTACCTGAATGCAGATTACAGCACAGGCCAGCATACCAGCTGGTCCCCAACTCCTCTGCTCAAGAGTCCCCCACCAGTCTCTAGTGACTGGCTGGGACTGCAGGCCTGTGCCATGTGTGGGTCAGAGGGACTCTCTGATAGCTCTAACACACTCTCCCTCTTACCAGTGATTTCTTCAGGCGCTCGTATTCAGGCCGATATTCCCTGGTGAAAGAAATGCCTTTTAAGTTCCTCTCCTGAATAACCCATACCACCCACCCCGACCTATCCCTTGTTTGCTTAAAACTGCCTGCAACAAAGACTTGACCTCACTGGAGTCCCCTGCACACCCTTCCCCATCACTGAGTCTGCCCTGTAGAATTCAACAATGCCAATGGCTGCTGTAAAAGCTAACAGTGAAGCCACCCCAGCTGAGGGACTGAGGGGCTCGTCACTGGTGTGAGGAAACAGGTAAGGAGATGGGCTGTTTGCTCAGGAAGCCCAGTGTATAAGGAAGTGATGGGCCCGAGCGACAACAGAACAGACTGCATCCTGAGCCTGGGAAGCATACACAAAACCCTTCAGGGTTCGTCAGTGGGAAAATAATGTTGCCTGGCAACCACAATGTCGTCCTTAGGGTCAAAGTAGGAAGCCGAAGCAGCATGCTAACAAGCAGCCCATGAGGTCATGGTCTGCTCGGTGTCACAGGTGAATGGGACCCCACTGGGGTCAGCAATGAAGTGTCTCCAGGAGGTGTCAGTAACTGTGATAGGACTTAGCGGTTATACTTCTTCACGTAATACAGCAACCTCAGTGCCAAGTCCACACCACGCCCGTGATGCAGGTGAGGTCTTTCAGGGACATAACCATGATCTTGTTTCTGAACATCTACAGGTCTTTTGTCCTACAACAACAGACGTGAGAAGTTGCCCACGAAACCTGTAATATCTACCAAGTGGCTCTTCTCAGAACAGGCCTGATGGCCCCTGCCTGGCAACCACTCAGAGCAGTGAACACTTTATACGTCTACCTTTTCAAAGAAGGGAACAGGCACTTGGTCACTCCTGAGTGTGGCCAGGTCTGATACACACAGGCAAGCAAATACACTTTCCACAGAAGGTGGAGATGCCTCTCCTGGCACGACCACCACGTGAGGGTGGTCGGTGACGAAGAGCGCATCAACGGCCCTTCCCTCATCCTCACCTTTCGTACTCCTCGGCAGCACTGGCGCCCTGAGCACAGAGCTCATCGAAGCCGGTGCCCACCACAGCAGAGACACCCACCACCTGCCAAGAAAGCTACGAATGTGTGTGTGCGAGGCAAGGACTCTGCTACTGAGCTGCATCCCAGCCCATGAACCCCCTTTACTAAGCATCGCAGCCAGAGCCTGCTTTACAGAATGTAAAGCACTTCCTTTCAGCGCTGGCTCAAAGCCCGGTTAAGGCTATGGTAAGACATTATCTGCAGCAAACCACCACTACATCAGGGGATGAATTTACCCGGAGGGAGCTGTAAAACTCATCTAACACCAGGCTCATGGAGCGAGTCAGGTTACTGACGTAGGTAGTCTCTTGGTTCAAGGCATCTTGGAAAGCCTCAAAGTCCTGCATCCACTCCACTGCAAAGCTGTGGTCGATGATGTCGGTCTGTGCCAGAGAGAAGGCAGGCGTCAGCAACCTGAATCAAGAGCACAGCTAAACCAGGGCAAAAAACATTTACGTAAGTGGTGACCGCCAAGAACTCAGCATCCACAGAGTTTCCTTCTCCGGCTCCCCTGTTCCCAGCTCCACTGCAACAAACCCTAGGGAGATCTGCCTTGCCTCTGATCGGCATTCCCAGTGGACTGCTGCTCCTCTACTGACACAGAATCCCTGAGGCTGGGGGACGACTGAATCACTCTGGCTGATATGTTAGTCTGTCTGCCCTACAATTACTGGGTGAGAGGCGGCACCCACTCCCCTGATGTCCCTCTGACTTTCTGTAGTAAAATCTTTTTTTTTTTTTTTTTTTCTGATTTTTCAAGATAGAGTTTCTGACTGTCCTGGAACTCACTCTGTAGACTAGGCTGGCCTCTAACTCAGAGATCTGCCTGCCTCTGCCTCTCAAGAGTTGGGATCAAAAGCATGCACTACCACCACCCCGCCTCTGTAGTAAAATCTTAATCTGCTGACAGCACTTGAAGTGACTCTGCACACCTCTCCAGACTTCTAACGTCAGTCATGGCTCTGGGTTAGAGACATGTTGACATCCCCACAGGAAGCAGCACTTACTTTGTTCATGACCACAATGAAAGGCAGCTTGGTTTTGTACAAGATGCTGAAAAAAAAAAAAAAATCAAAGATGGAGCCAGCATTATTAAACGCATTTAAGGCCAAGCATAACGACACATGCTTGTAATTCCAGTATTCAGAAGGCAGAGAAAGGAAGTTCAAGAGTTCAAGGCCAGTCTGGGCATATAGTGAAAGTTTATTGCCGGGCGGTGGTGGCGCACGCCTTTAATCCCAGCACTCGGGAGGCAGAGCCAGGTGAATCTCTGTGAGTCCGAGGCCAGCCTGGTCTACAGAGTGAGCTCCAGGAAAGGCGCAAAGCTACACAGAGAAACCCTGTCTCAAAAAACCAAAAAAAAAAAAAAAGAGTTTATTTCTAAAAACAACTAAAGGCATTCAAGCTCTTGGGACTAAGTAAAGAGAACAGGAAAACCTTCAGAGTGAATTGTAAGTGGTACTGAGTCTCCTCTGCCAAAGGAAAATGACCACCAACATCAAGCCAGCAACTGACCTCCAGCCCATACCATGTGTTGATAGTGATCCTTTTTAATATTTTATCAAATAATTCTCTCTTTTGTTACCCAAGTGGAGGGAATGAGCATTTACTGAATACCCAAAACAGGATGGTTACTCTGGTAGGCACTTCCACATGCATATACATTATCTCCTTTAATCCATACAAATGCCATGTAAATGTATACAATTTTTGCTGTCTTTAAGACAGGGTCTCATTCTGTAGCCTGCACTAGCCTAGAACTTCTTAGCCCACAGTCCCAGGATGGGCTTGAATTTATGACCATTCTCTTGCTTCAGCCTCCGGAAACACTGTCCTGCAGGTTGAAAATTTCCCACATTTCCTGAGGTAGATGCCCAAGATAAAATTATATACACTTAAGGCGTGCATCATGAATTATTTTAAGTTGATCTCCTCTTACCCTTTATTAATGTCCGCAGTCCTGATGGCTGACCCAGGCCTGGAAAGTCAGAGGCACACCCTCTCCTGCTGAGCTACATTCCCGATCCTCTGACATTCTGAGCTATGAACACACCGTGAAATGACTCTACACTCAGGATAATCAAGGACATGTGTTTTACTCCTTAACATAAGGGTGGAGCAATGCTATCTTCCTATGTCAGGACGTCTTGCATCCAATATGATGTTTACTCTGAGACCCAGCATCCTGGTGATGGCTCCTGTCAGTCTCCATAGCACTCTCCTAAAACTTCAGTTTGCATTCACAGTGAATCGTGAAGCAACTTTTTTTCTCCCAATGCAACATCTGGGATAAATTAGTAACATGTTCGGATGATAACTATAATCTTTCTGTTATTATTGTTCTTAATGTTATGGCAGGGTCTTACTCCATACTCTATACTGACCTTGAATTTGCCCTCCTTCACCTCCTGACTTGGGATTATAGGAAAGCACCACTACACCTCGTTTTGATAAAACTTTTTATTTCTGGTGTCTCCTCATGTTACATTTTTATATTACTTATACAAAATCTAAGCACCATTTATACCAGAGAACTGATTCTATCCTGACTTGGATCTCACCCAGCTGGGAATAACCACCACCTAATTCTGTGACAGGCAAGGGAGGAACATGCTGAGAGAAAATGCCAATAGTACACGTCTCTCTTTACTGGCCTTCTCCTGACTCAGGACAATCTGTAAATACAGATGATCACAAATCCAGGGGTATATAACCAGGACTCAAAACCAAAAGGGGAATAAAGTCAGATAAAATAAAGCTGAAGATCTGGCTCAGCAGTTAAGAGCACTTACTGCTTATACAGAGGACCCAGGTTCAGTTCCCAGCATCTACATGGTGGCTCACAACCACCTGTAACTCCAGTTTGAAGAGATCTGACATCCTCTTCTTGCCTCCACAAGCTCCTGCACACACATGGTACACATACAACCATACAGGCCCACATACATACAAATAAGTAAGTAAATGTCTTTAAAAAATAAAAAGGAGAGCCAGGTGGTAGTGGCACATGCCTTTAATCCCAGCACTTGGGAGGCAGAGGCCACGTGGATCTCTGTGAGTTTGAAGCCAGCCTGGTCTACAGAATGACTTCCAGAACAGCTAGGGCTGTTACACAGAGAAACCCTGTCTCAAAAAAACAATAGATAGATAGACAGACAGACAGACAGATGATAGATAGATAGATGATAGATAGATAGATAGATAGATAGATAGATAGATAGATAGACAGATAGTAGATGGATGATTGATAGACAGACAGACAGATAGATAGGAAAAAGAGAAAGCAGCCTCACAGCTGGCAGAACACCATGCCTACCAACCATCAGTTACCTGCACGCATACAGCATATTGGACATGAAGGTCACCGGGTTAGTACTTCGGGACGTGTCCATCACGTAGATGACCACTGTTGGAAATGAGGATGCCTAGAACCACAGAGTAAGTGAAGTCTTAATCACGGGGCTCATCACTTGCTCCCGTACTCCTCTCCTCCCTTTCTTGTAAGAGAGCAGCACTGTAGACAGGGCGTGCAGAGCCTCTCCTCTCCCTCTCGTATTCAGCCCAGGCAGTAGACAGAGGCTGAGCTAACCCTCCACATGCTCTCAGGAACAAGACCCAGAACACTCACCAGGGCCTCGGTGATGATGGTCCCAGAAGCTGACCAGGTGAACACTTCAATCTGTCCGGGTGTGTCAATCAAGACATATCTGGGTCAAGGAGACCATTAAGGGGTGTTATACTTGGGCAATTCTGAAGATATTCCATCACAGAGAATGCTCAATGTCTGCTGACCCAAGACTGCAATAACCTCTGCACACTGCCAACCACAGTCCTACCATGCCCTAAAACTGCGCAGTCCCAAGAGCTTGCTCCAGGTCCAATATGCATGCCAAGGAGAAGAAACAGCACAGCACAATCTGCAGTAACTAACTAGAGAGGAAACAGTGTAATTACAGAAACCCTTCACTACCACTGAGACATTAGCAAAACCAGAACGCAGCTCTCTTTGGAAGCATCTTGTTTCTTAGGGAGGCGTGGAGGGAAGGAGAAGATATGGAGGAATAGGGGAGTGGGAGAATACTACTGCCTATAGAACATTCTAAAATTGACCGCACTGACAGTTACACAACCCTGTGTACAACTCTGGACATATTAGAAGCCACTGACTTGTACACTTGGATGTCATGTAAACTGTATCTTAATAAGTATTTTAGAAACAGGCAAACTTGGGGATAGGGATGCAAGTCAGGGTCAAACACAGGCTGAGCATGGGCTTAGGGTGTTCGACACCATGAGTCAAATCCCCATGAGAATAAACTAATAAGAAAGTTAGCAAATAAATACAGGACAGGTACTAGGGAAACAGAGAAGGGAAATTAAGAAGTGACTGTTAATGAGTGTGTAGGTGAGATGTGTGAAATTAAACAATTATGATCCATGCACCAGTATGTAAATATAATAAAATACATTTTAAAAAAGGAAACTACAGAATGTGATCTCAAAGAACCTTTTTTTTTTTTTTGTTTTTGTTTTTGTTTTTGTTTTTGTTTTTCGAGACAGGGTTTCTCTGTGTAGTTTTGCGCCTTTCCTGGGACTCACTTGGTAGCCCAGGCTGTCCTCGAACTCACAGAGATCCGCCTGGCTCTGCCTCCCGAGTGCTGGGATTAAAGGCGTGCACAAAGAACCTTTTTTGGCCCGGAGGTGGTAGCATATGTCTTTAATCCCAGCATTCGGGAGGCAGAGGCAGGTGGATCTCTGTGAGTTCAGGCCAGCCCTGGACGACAGAGTGAGTTCCAGGACAGCCAGGGCTACACAGAGAAACCCTGTCTCAAAACCAAACCAAACCAAACCAAAAAAAACTGTTTTGTTGGTTTTTTTTTCTGATATTTCTGGTTGTGAGCCTAGCCTTCAACGGCTGAGCCATCTCTCCAGGCCTTGCTATTTTTTCTAATGAAAACAAAAATCTACCTCGATTATAATCCCATCTTTGTAATACTTTACGCATAGAAATAGGTGAAACGCCAATCAGCGAATAACAGCAATTGTTACTAGGACTGAGAGTGACAGTTTCATGTTTCGAATATGTATTCTTTTAAAATAACCTTTTTATTACATTCATTTAGTTTACATATAAAAGTACAGAGGAGACATGCGGAGGCCAGAGGTCAACTTGTGGGAGTTCTCTGCTCCCACCATAGGGGTCCCAGGAATCAGACTCAGGTCATCAGGCGTGGCTGCAGGCGCCTCTACCTGCTGAGCCATCTCGCTGGCACATGCTTTTAATTTGTTTTTGTTTTTTGTTTGTCGAGACAGAGTTTCTCTACTGAATTTCATCAGAAATGCATACAATGGATCTGCTGGCAGTAGTAGTATTTTGTTTTAGGATGTTGTGACTTAGACAGATAATACAGATGTCTTCCCCTCTTTTATAGCTTTAAAATCTGACAGAAAATTACAAAAAAAGAAAAAGTAAACATATCAAAACTTTAATAATAGTTAATGGTGAGAAATGATGTTCTTCCCCATCATGGTTGACTGTGCTCTCTCAAACAAAGAGCAAAAGTCTTCCTCCCTTAATCTGAGAAAGGAGAAAAGAGTAAGTGTTTCTCCAAAAGTCATAGAAAAAGGAAGAAAAGTGTTGGGGTTGTGGGGAGGGGCCAAAATAATTGGGAGTAATCCTCTGTATTATATGTCATCTCAATGATTTTATTGTCCACCTTTCTTTCTTTTCATTTCATGACTTGTCTCAGTTAACAGTTTCAGGGTTCAAAGGTCACCAAGTCCTCTCAAAGGTCTAGAACTGTATCAGTGACAGGCAGTCAACTCAAACCACCTACCTGAATGTGTTCTGGGCCTTCTCGATAAATTTCATCACCTAGAAGAAAAAGATGTCAACTGTAACACCATCTAATTCCAACACGACACCAGAGGTCACCCTCCAGGGTGGCATGTGTTAAATGCACCATCACAAGGCACAAGCCGAGGACACCAAGCAATGGCCTCCTCGATGCAGAGAAGCAGAGCCACAGCAACAGCATTGCAACCTGGAGCACAGCGCCAGACCTGGCCTGTCACTGTGGCATCAGGGTCCCTTAACACATTGGCCACATTTGTCTGCTTTAAAGAGCCAGGGTCAGGCATACTGTGGACCTCAGGCCCGTGTGATTCTCCTGCTTCATGCTCCTGAGCTGGGAATTCAGTTACAAATCATCCTGGCTTTGGTCAAATGTCAATGTCTCAAGTAGCAGAACCAGAGTAAAACGTAGTGATTATAAGCCACTCTCATGGGAGTAAGTGACAGGGAAAATCTAGAGGGTGGCAAATACTCCTTACAAGAAAAAAGGGTCATTATTTCACCTCCCTTGCTGTGGCTAATGGCAGTGCCCTGTACCCTCAGTAACACCATAAGCCGGTAACAGGTCACAGAAAGAAGCCAGGTCTCTGGAATTTCTCTTTTGTTCTCTCACAGACATTAAACGTGAAGTGTCCCAACGCAGTCAGAGGTTATTTCTGTCTACCAAAATGCCTGCTTATTTTTGGTATTTCTCCATTTTTGCTGCTCTTCTTTATCAATGTGATCAAGCAGGAGCATATTCAGAGTCAGATTTTTATAGTACCATGCCTATAAATGTAAAAGAAGCCTTACCTGATCAAATCTGGTAGCAAAGAGATTGAGTGAGGTCACTATGCCACCATTTGGCCCAAGTCCATATCTGAGCATTCAGTTAAGGATTTAAGTTGCACATATGAGATTATATGGTTCATATCTAGACTGTCATTCATCCAACAGCATTATGTTCAGTATGTAACAGTATTAGTGTTCAATTAATGGGTACTGGCAACCCAGTCTTGACAACCACACAACCTTGACATTCCAAGAACCACTGACTAGCAAGGGCCTCCCTGTTCATCTATCATTTTAGGGATGGTCACACACGATAAAGACAACGGAATGGCCAAAACGTAGTGAATACACAGACATGTGAACAGTGACAGGCTGCTGGCATCCGTCATTAAAATCATCTACGCAGCCAGACATGGGAGCTCACGCATTTAATTCCAGCATTCAGGAGGCAGAGGCAGGCAGATCTCTGTGGATTTCAGGCCAGCCGGGGGACAGTGAGTTCCATCCCCGCCAGGACTACATGTAACACTCTTTACTCTGATCCTAATTAACCAAGCAACCTAAAAGTACTTACAGAGAGCCACATGCCATGCTGAAATCAATCCATAAGAATTAATCCAACTCAACATATTTTTCTGAGTTTCCTGGTTGAATTCATAGTTATCAATGACTGTCTCACCCAAGACAACATCACTTCACTGGACCCGGGCGGTTAACAGCTGGCCACTCAATTCTGCTCTCTGATTACAATACCTGTAGTCTGCGCATGTCAAGAAAACTGAAATCAAATGGTAGGGTAGGATGGCTGGAAATCTCTGCTCTCTCCTGCATTCATCTTACTCATCTTACATCTTTTTAATACGATTACTTAGAAGTAAGTTTTCTACTTGTGTATTTCACAATTTGACAGGCAAACCAGTCTGTCAACGTGGGGAGAAATTCTCCAGGGACGAGTCCACCCACAGCTGACGAAGAAAAGGATACTGCTTCATGACTTCTTTATACTTCACTGTGTCGCGAATATCTGAGAGGAAAAGAGAGATCATGGTTTATTTTACTTCTTTTTTGTTTTTCGTTTGTTTGTTTGTTTGTTTTTCAAGACAGGGTTTCTCTGTAGTTTTGATGCCTGTCCTGGAACTCACTCTGTAGACCAGCCTGGCCTTGAACTCACAGAGATCTACCTGGTTCTGCCTCCCGAGTGCTGGGATTAAAGGCGTGCGCCACCACTGCCTGGTGTTACTTTACTTCTTGAGGCACGGTCTCAGTTGTCTGGACTGGCTTTGAACTTTCCATGGCGTCCAAGCTATCCTCAAACTCTGAGCAATTCTCCTGCCTCAGCCTCCTGAGTGCTAAGGTTGGTTGCAGAAGTGCCACCAAAACTGACTTAGGCTTCTTACCAGCATTTTCTTATACCTTTCTCCAGTTACAATGGCTTCTTTCCTGACTAAAGATACTGCCAAGTATCCTATGAAGAATGCTGAGTTCCTAGGTGTGATGATGCACACTTTTAATCCCAGCACTCAAGAGGCAGAGGCAGAGTCAAGCAGATGTCTGTGAATCTGAGACCAGCCTGGTCTACAAAGTGAGTTCCAGGACAGCCAGGACTACATAGGGAGACCCTGTCCCGAACAAACAAAAAAGTTAGGCGAGAAGCTCTTAATTATGAAAGATATTGTCTGAAACAAGATTAAAAGTTTTAGACAATTTCAATGGTACTGGGCACATGCACAGGGGGAAAATCAAAACAAAACAAAACCTCAAACCGAGAAAAGAAGACTTCTTACTAACCACTGCCTGGTAATAAAGGCGACTCACAGACATATGGAAAAAGAATCCATCTACTGAGATCTACCAAAACCTATCCACCAGGAGCTGGGCTCAGTGATTAAGAGCACTTGTGGCTCTTGTGGAAGACTCAGATTCAGTTCCCAGCACCTACAGAGCGGCTCACAAATGTCCGTAAGGCAAGTTCCAGGGGTTCTGGCACCCTCTCCTAGCCTCTGAAGGAATCAGGCACATACCATGGTGTACAGACGCAGGTACAACATCTGCACACATAAAAGAAAAATAAATAAATAAGAAATTGACCCACCAGCCAAGAGAGGAACAATATTACAAGTTTATCCTCGAGTTTGGATAGGAAACTTTTTGCCAAATCTTCCCAAAATGATCTACGATTCTTAAAACAACATCTCCCCACCTCCCCCTTAATTTGTATATTTGGGGTATAAGAAGCTTACTAGGATTAACAAGTGAGAGTTATAGCCTAGGAATCAGGAAGCCTGAACCTAGCAAGAACCTTGTCACTGGATCGCATACACTTTCATAATGAATCTACCCCTCACTCCCCATTTTTTCTTTATTAAAAAAACGACAACAAACAAGCAATGTTTGGCTAGGTAGGTCTTACTGACCCCGAACTCTTAAAATACTGTGCCTCAGACTCTCTTGGATAACACCCATACTTAATCTTTCTGATAGTGTCAGTCAGAAACTCTCCTCAGAGCAATGCATTTCTTGTTTGTTTTTTGAGATGCAATGCCTATTTTTAAATTCGGCCCCCCACACATACACACACCTTTGGGAATGGAAGGGACCTTCCTACGGATCAGAGTGAATTCTAGCAGAACTCATAAACTCTTACTACAACACTGATAAAAGAAACTGAATGATTTATGTGTCACTTTTTTTTATAGCCTGACTTAATGTGACTTCTCCTCCAATTCATTACAACAGTTTCACACACTAAGGACAAAAGAGAGAGAGAGGAGAATGGAAATGATACACACCTTAGGAGCCATTAGATAAAGAGGGGAATAAACCTCAGTAAGGAAGAAGCCTGTTGTGGAACTCGGGCAAATCCAAAGAAAATAAAAAGTAGATAGTTAGCCAGTTCAGAAAAGAAAGAAAACTGAAGGCACTCACCAATATTGGCGGGAAAGGGGACTTCATGCACAGCTGGGTCCAGGTTGATGACGTAAGGTGGGGAGCCTCTGTTGTGCAGGTGTCCTGTGAGCCTCTGCAAAAACAGGGAATAATCTGTAACATGTTCATTTTTTCCCCCACTTATTACGCTTGCTCAACAACAAACTCTGTTTAAAACCCATCTAGCGGGCCTCCTCTACCCTCCATCACCTCTTTACTGACTTTGAATGGCCCTGTAAGGGTTTGGGGCTCCCCGCCCCTCATCCCCTTCACTAAAACATTAACACCGTGAAAGCAAGAACCCTGTCGATTCCATTTTCGCTCTATACTCGGAACTTAGAACGTCTTGGGTCGAAAGAAGTAATTCTTTCACAACTCCTCACGCAAAACCAGGGTGCTGGCATTATATCCCCCTACTCTTTTAAGCCCGGGGCCTTCCAAAAAGCTGCTCATTCACAGCAAGGCAATTTCAGTTGTACCAAACATGCACTAGGGTTACCCAAAGGCTGCCTTAAGTGACCCAGGCTAGGGTTCGAGCCTTCGGGAGTCGGAGGCAAGAAAACCACGCGCCTAGACCCTCCCAATTCCCCAGACAACTTCTTCCCGTCCTCCCTGGCCACAGGCAACCTGTCGAGCGCTACTACCGCTTCCGCGCAGTGCACGTCACCTGTACGAAGGTAGTTTTCCCGGACCCCGCCATTCCCAACACCAAGAGACACACGGGGAGCTGGGGAGCCCCGGAAGCTTGGGGCTCAGCCGGAGCCACGGGCGCCGCCATCTTCCCTCAGCCACGCCCACCGCTCCACGGAGACGCCGGCGGGGCGGGAGACTTGCGGCATTCCGGGCTGCGATTGGCCGGAGAATCCGCCCTCTCTGTGTTTAGAGCTACGATTGGTGGGATGATCCTGCCTCGCTGCATTGAGGGCTATGATTGGCCGGAATATCCAAACCGCTCAAACCTGCGGAGATCCTGAAGGGCTTCTAGGCATCAGACTCTCCGGGAATGTTTTAGATGCTCCAGCTGCCAAGCAGGGGCTTTGGACAAGTGAGGGGGAGTGTACGGAACCAGGAAGAGTTGACAGGGGTGAGGTAGGGCCTGAGAGGGGCAAAGGTCGTGTCTCTAGGGGCGAAACGAGGTGGGATCGCAAGCCTAGAGTTATAGTGGCGCAAGCCTGTCAAGATTGTGAGGTTAGCTGCTAAGATGTCAATCCACCTTCTATCTTATTAGCCAAGAAGAAAAAAGAAAGTTTTTAAAGGTCATTGTATCCTAGAAAATATTAGGTAAAAATTAGGGTAACACTTGAAAGAATGAATACTGTCCTTCAAATAACAGAAGAAGAAATAGTTGAGGCAGAGTCCTCACCTAATGCAAAGGGGATCAAAGAACAAAGAGGTGTTTGTGGCCCAAGTGTAGCTGAGTAATTAATAGTGAGGCATATGAGTAGAGGTCGGTAGGATGAATCTCATGAGGGAAAGCCCGTATGACAAGAGACTGTGACCAAAAATGTTTTAGTTGCCCATCTGTATGTCCATTTGTCCAAGGGAAGAAGTTTTGGGGATCCTCCTCTCCTTCTCGTCTCCCTGTTGTTGGGGTAGGGGGACAGAATTACCTACCTCATCAGACCCCACCACTTAATTGTATTTTCAGGGGTATCCCTCTCACCCACACATTTTTGGTCATGCCAACCTGCTCTGTGCCCCTAATGGGAAGAGATTTTTTTAGCCAAGGTAGGAGCTTCCATTTTATTTGCTCACTCCATTCGCCTGACCCCAGACTCGCCAGAAGCTCCTCTCCTCCTCCTAGCCTTTTACCCCACCCCCAACCCAGGGGAATTCTTCCTCATACACAGTGACACAAACAGGGCCCTGCTCTCTTAAGTTCCAGAGGACACCGAGATCAACTGCCTTGTCTCCAATTCCAGAAGAATAAGGTTTCATCCCGCAACCGAACTCAACCCCACTGGATTGGGAACCCCATAGGTTTTCCTTCCTGATTCCCACTCTGCATTCTCCTGTCTCTACTGACCATATTCTGCTTCATCAGTTTCCCTCTGTGATTCTAATAACATAATCAAATTTCTAATTAACTACTCAGCTAACTTACAGGACCACCATCAGCCACAGAGCTGGAGGCACAAGGACCATCAAATATACCCAGGCAGTAAGAAACAGTAACACTTCAGAGGTATTCACAACCCCCAGACTCAAAAGGGTCTGGACTCTGCAAAAACAGACTTTAATATAATAGTTTACTGCTGTTAAATGCCCTCAGCAATCAATCGCCTGTGTCTCCTGGATGCTGAAGTGATACCGAGATAATAAAAGGAAACAGGTACCTTAAGGTTTGTCTCAGGTGAAGATAGGAAGCCTAATTGATAATAATAGAAAAAAGAAAGCATGTTCCAGATTTCTCTCTCTCTTGCTATATGACTCCATAACTTTAACACTAACCAATAAAACGCTGATAGCAGACTACTAAACCTTATAACATCATAGCTACCAGCTCAGGATTATAAATTCCCTTTGTTGTTGTTGTTGTTGTTTTTTTTTTGTTTTTTTTTTTTGGTTTTTTGTTATTTTCAAGACAAAGTTTCTCTGAGTAGCTTTGGAGCCTACCCTGGACCTCACTCTGTAGACCAGGCTGACCTCGAATTCACAGAGATCCACCTGCCTCTGCCTCTCAGGTGCTGGGATGAAAGGCATGTGCCACCACCACCCAGCTCCTGGTTGCTTCTTAATATGTCTAAAATTTGTCTCCTTCGTGAACTTAAAAATTCTTCTGAGCTCCAGGGAGTTGACTCGGCCCCACCCGGACAGGTCAGATCCACTTCAGCCTGTCGGGTCCAAGCTGTCAGACCCAAGCAGCGCTGGACAGATTCCACAGGGCTCAAGACAACAGCAAAGATAATCAGCTACCTCAGAAGGTCCAACTCCCTCAAGAAAAGCCCCTCCTTATCCCCCCGCAACATTAACCGATGCCCACCACGTCAGCTGGAAGCGGTTCTGAGAGACACAGTGCTCCCATTCCCTTTCACCCACCACCTCTAGCCCTTTACTTTTATATAGTAACAAAAAGGGTGGAATGTTACTATTCCTACCTGGAGTCACATGAGTGCGCATGCGCTGTCAGCAGTCAGGCAAAATGCTTAGTCACTCTACCATTTCCCTTCCCTAACAAATATGCAGAGAAACGTTCTTTGCCCAGGTGTAGCAAGAAAGGTACGCAAGAATGGCAGAAGTTACAATGCATAGATGCTAAGAACACTCATCAGAGAAGACCAGCTGTGCTCCAAACCCCTCTCTGATCTTCGAAAACTATAGATTTGCAAGACCAGTGTGTGTACCCTGTTCCCCACTTGCTGCCTTTCTCCAAGCAGCAAACGGGTCGTCAGCAGTGGTCTTCCTGGTAGAACGTTAGTAAAAGTGACATGCTGCTTCTAGCCTTGCAACCGTACACTGTGTTTTCTTCCCCTCTTCCTTGGCTAGATCGGATGGCCCTATAGGAGAAGACTGCACAAAAATGGAAGACGGTTGCTCCCCCATGTGATCTTGTGAAGGAGACCCACCTAATAACCAGAAACACCTATCTGAAACCCTTAATGGAGCAAGAAATGCGTCTGTTGAAACATTACACACTCATCTCGTAAAACCAGCTCTAAGCCAGGCAGTGGTGGTGCATGTCTTTAATCCCAGCACTCGAGAGGCGGGGCAGGCAGATCTCTGTGAGTTCGAGGTCAGCCTGGTCTATAGAGTTCCAGGATGGCCAGGGCTGTTACACAGAGAAACCCTGTCTCAAAATTAAATAACTAAATAAACAGCTCTGGTATACAGCTTTATTTGTCCAGAAGGAAGAATAAATAGTAATGTAGTCACACACTAGGTTATATAAGCTATCAATGTAATAAGGATTTCTCCTAATAATTATGAATAAATCTGAAAAATACTGGGGTCCAGGAAAAGCAACTTATGGAACACATCAAATGTACCATTTATATAATGTATATTATATAAATATATGATTATATAGTAACACCAAACAGGATAGACTCCAGAGGGATGTCAACCGAATTTTCATGTTTATTTTTCAGTACTTAGGACTGTACCTAGGAGCTTTCCACTTACTACGCAAACACCCTAACCAGTGATTTATAGCCCTTCTTTTTTCTGTTGTTGAGACAGAAGCTGATAATGTGTCCCAAAGTGGTCTTGAGCTTGCAGTCATCCAGCCTCAGCCTCTCAAGTACCTGGGTAATATTAATTACCCAGCACACAGCTTGCATCTTATTTCTGAACAAGGATCACGAGTTGTAACTTTTTATACTTCAGAAACTAACTTTTAAGATGTGTAACAGCTGGGTGCCGTGGCTCATGCATGTAACTGTAGCACCCAGAAGACTGACACAGGTGGGTGTGCCATGAGTTCAAGGCCACATAATGGCTACGTAATGAATTCCAGGGCAGCCTTGGCTATCAAGTGAGATCCTGTCTCGGGGTGGGGGTGGGGGAGTTTATAACAGAAAGAATAATACATCTTTCCTACCTCTTTCTTTTTTTTTTTTTTTCAACAAAGATTTATTTATTTATTATGTATACAGCATGTATGACTGCAGGCCAGAAGAGGGCACCAGATCTCATTACAGATGGTTGTGAGCCACCATGTGGTTGCTGGGAATTGAACTCAGGACCTCTGGAAGAGCAGTCAGTGCTCTTAACCTCTGAGCCATCTCTCCAGCCCCTTACTTCTTTCTTAAAGGCAATGCTTTAGATATTTTCCTCGCTGCACACCTACTCTTAACTCCCTCTCTCTCACCCCCTAGTCACTTCTCTTCTGGAGCCAACAGTTCCACTGTGTGTTCAGAGGTGGAAGCCAACAGAATCATTTTCACTTGTCTCCTGCCTCTCTGTCCGTACCTTTTACCAGCATCACCTTCCCCTCCCGTAGGTAGAAGTTTCTGTCCTGCCAGCAGCTCCCAAATAAGCTGCTTCCAAAATTACCACACAGAAGCTTATACTAATTTTAAATGCTCTGCTGGTAGCTCAGGCTTATTACTGACTAGCTCTTACACTTAAATTAACCCATAATTCTTATCTATGTTTAGCCGCGTGGGTTGGTACCTTTTCTCAGTACGGTATTCTCATCTCGCTTCCTCTGCATCTGGCTGGCGACTCTCTGACTCCGCCCTTCCTCTTCCCATCATCCTTAGTTTGGTCACCCCGCCTATACTGACCAATCAATGTTTTATTACACCAGTTCAAGTGACAAATCTTTACAGTGTACAAGAGGATTATTCCACAGCACCCTCCTTTACCCAAATTATCTGATCATTCACCAGCAATACTTGCGTGCGTGTGTGCATGCGTGCGTGCGTGCGTGTGTGTGTGTGTGTGTGTGTGTGTGTGTGTGTGTGTGTGTGCATGTGTGCCATGTTGCCCATGTGGAGGTGAGAGGGCTACTTGAAGGAATCTGTTGCTGGGTTTTGGGGATCATACTCAGCCTTGGCTGGCCACACTCTTACCATCTGAACCATCTTGCTGGCAATACTTTTGTTATATGTGCAGTTCTGTGTTTTGTTTTGTTTTGTTAATGACTCACCTCAACTCTGATTTTAGGCCCTTTGCATTCAGTACCTGTCTGGTTTGAATATTCAGGTCTATCTTCCTATTACTTCACCTGATTCCTTTAACATCCCCCACCAGTTTTGTTTCCTCTGTAAAGGAGAATGTTCACTAAGGTAGTTGTAATTTTTAGCATTACCACAGACTCAGGCTAGAAGAATGATTTATTGCACTGTGAATCCTGGTTTATGAAAAACGATCCCACGTCGTCCAGTGGTCCTCCATGGGAACGTCTAAGAATCACACACACACACACACACACACACACACACACACACACACACACACACACAAATCTCAAAGTGATTTTCCAAGCTGGGAAAATCCAGTGTCACTGGCAATTCAACAGCCTCCCCAGTAGGCCAAGACAGTGCCAGAGCCTAGTTGTTGATTTCCAATTCTAATTTCAAATAAATAAATTACCTCGGATCTATTCTTGACTTGGTGCATAAAGGATGTGGTTCAGTGTGGCCTCAGGGCACCCTGTTCTTCGGGAAGGGGTCATAATTATGACTTCTCTCTCTCTCTGCCTTCAGCTGGTGTCTCCCCCTAACTAAGGCTTCTTGGTACCATTGCCCCTCCTTCAGCTTCTCCTTCCAGCTCTCTAACTGCCTCTTTAGAGACTCTAGCTTGTGATACTCCCGGACTTGCTTCAACAATTCCTCCTGTAACTCCTGGTTCTCTCTGCAGACACTAGAGCAAATCTCAGAATTCACCTTCCTGGCTGTTGATGCCAAGGCCCGGGCCTTATTCTTCGCTTCCTTGGTTCTGCCCTGTCCCACCTGCAGGCATTTGAGTTCCTGCATCTGTCTGTCTAGGGGCGTCTTTCGCTGCAGGAACTGCAAGAATGCCTCTTGGTCCTTTTTAGCAGTCAGCGCTTTCATGTTCGCCAGCTCCTCCTGTAACGCCTGGATTCTCATCTCCTGGCCCTTCTTGACTGAGTTGATATGCTGCAGTGACTGAACCTGCTGCTTCAACTGGAACTGGGTGCTTTTTCCGTGCAAGAGCTGCTTTTGAAGGTCTGCATTTTGTCGGGCAAACATAAATGCCAGTTCTTGTCTCCTACGTCTCATCTCCCCGCATTCCTGGAAATACTCATTCCACAGGTCCTCGTGTTTCTTTTTACACAGATCATTTCGTTTCTTTAGGAATTTCAGGAAGTAGTTGTTCTCAGTCTCCAGGTAGAGTGTCTCCTGTTGCAGTACCTTGCTGTCTTGCAGCAGCAGTTCCTGCTGCCGCCGGGCCTCTTCTATATTCTTGCTCAGCTTCTCCAGGGCCTCAATTGTCCGACGTTTTACCTTATTCTCCAATTTTGTTAGCCTCTCTGGCTTGAAAAATTCATTTAGAATAGTGAGATACATTGATGATTGGGGAGATCTGGGACTCCGGACAAGCCTGGATGAAGAATAAAGGAAACCTTCCTTTATCTGTTCTTAGACACAATTGAGAAAACAAGAACCAAAAACTAACCCAGACCATTGTATTATTGTAATATGCATCCTCCCCCCCCCCCCCCCCCCCCCCCCGAGACAGGGTTTCTCTACATAACAGCCCTGGCTGTCCTGGAACTCTTTGCAGACTTTCAAGCCTTGAGCTCCCAGAAATCCACCTGCATCTGCCTCCTAAGTGCTGGGAGTAAAGGCGTGCGTCACCACTGCCTCGCCTTAGTTATGAGTTTTATCAGAGCAATAGAAACCCAACTAAGACAGGGTCTTTCACCAAACCTGATGCTCACTGACTAAGCTAGGCTCGCTGACTGGCCAATAAACATCTGGGATCTGCCTATTTCCATGCCCCCCTCCCAACCTTAGGAGTTACAGGCGTGTGTTGCCTTGCCCCGCTTTCTAAATTGGTTTTGGTGATCTGAATTCAGGTCCTCTTGCCATGTGGCGGATACCTGAGCTGCTGGACCATCTCCCAGGCCCTCCCTCTTCCATCATCATTGCCAAGCTTAGACCTTTCTCTCACATCAGTCTCCCTCCTCATCTTCAGTACCTACCTGGTTCTAGACTTCAGGCGTTTATCAGGGTGAGTTTGGTGTTCACTGGAGGTATTCGCCCAAAAACTCATGCTAGGTATCTGCCTTCTGCGAGCACAATTTTCAAGAGGTGTCTTTACTTTGGGGACAATATGATAGGACTTTGCATGGTTAGAGTTGACATCCCATGATATCTTGGCCTCACCTACCAAATTAGTCCTAATTGATTGACTGGATCTGTCCCCAGATATTGGGCTTCTGAATTTTGAAACTTGGTTGTCCTGCCCTCGGGATTCCATGTCTTCTCTTACTCGTGAGGAGTAGGGCCTTGCCCCTCCCACGTCGTAGTCTACTACCACCAACACTTGTTGAAGCGCCCTACACACCTTCTCAGTTGTCTGACCCTTCCATTTCTCAGGCACTGTCACCAGTTAGCCCCAGCAGGGTAAAACCCACAGATGCCTGACTAACCTACCACTGTCCCCTACTCCTCAGATTGGGGTCAAATGTTCCCTGCACGATGATCTCATGGAATGTCACAGAAGTCTCTCTAGTGATTTGGTGTCTCTATGGTGAGGGGCTAGACTGCAACTTCCGCTGAGTCTGAGACCTCATGGGACATCAGCCCACTGTGTGTCTGTTGGGAGTGGGAATGGCAGGAGTCCAGAAGAATCACCTTTCTAGAAATGACTACTTTGAGGAGACATGGTAGGGGCCTGGTGAGAGGTAGCCTGTGGCAGGAAGGTGGTCAGAGCTGAAGGGAAGGAGAGTCTCTGAGGTAGTAGAGAGTCTAGAAGGTTGGCTTCTGGGCAACTGGACTTCCACTCCAGTTCCTTCCTCTGGGAAACCTGGGATCCTAGCTTGGATCAGTTAGAGTTGTCTTCTGCATATTCCCAGTGCACAGCTGGCATAACTCTCCATGTTGTACAATGTCTTGAGGATGAAATAGATGCTTTTTTGGTTTTTCAAGACAGGGTTTCTCTGTGTAGTTTTGGTTCCTGTCCTGGATCTCACTCTGTAGCCCAGGCTGGCCTTGAACTCACAGAGATCCGCCTGCCTCTGCCTCCTGAAAACTGGGATTAAAGGCGTGTGCCATCACCACCCGGCAAAATAAACAGATTCTTAAAAGCCAGGGTTTAAGAATACGTAACTCGGGCCGGGCGGTGGTGGCGCACGCCTTTAATCCCAGCACTCGGGAGGCAGAGCCAGGCGGATTTCTGTGAGTTCGAGGCCAGCCTGGGCTACCAAGTGAGTCCCAGGAAAGGCGCAAAGCTGCACAGAGAAACCCTGTCTCGAAAAACCAAAAAAAAAAAACCAAAAAAAAAAAAAAGAATACGTAACTCGGGCCAGGCAGTAACTCAGTGAATGAGAGGGGCTGAGATGTAGCTCAGTTGTCAGAGTGCTTACCTGGTGTACAAGGAGCCCTGAGTTCAATGTCCAGCACCAATTAACGCTTGGTGTGACAGCACACACTAATCTCAACACTCTGGAGGTGGACATAGGAGGACCTCCTCTTCTACACAGGGAGTCAAAAGCCAGCCTAGGATACACGAGACCTTGTCTCAAAAAAAAAAAAAAAAAAAGCCAAGTGAATGAAAGGCTGGAGAGATGATGGATCAGTGGCCAAAAGCATTTGCTGCTCTTGTAGAGGACCTGGGTTCAGTTCTCAGAACCCATGTGGTGGCTTTAGAAAACATACATGGGAATTGGGGTATGTGGATGGTAGTGCAGTCTTGGATCGGCATTTAGTATTCTCTGATGGACCATCTTTCAGGACTGCACAAGTATAACACTTCTCTAGTGGTTTTCTGGAGCCAAATATGCCTTGATTGACACACCCAGACAGAATGAAGTATTCATCTGGTCAGCTCTGGGAAAATCATCACCAAGGCCCTGGGGAGTGTTCTTGAATCTTGTTCATGAGACGACCTGAGTTTGATCCCTGGAATCCACATGGTGGAAGATGAGAACTGACTCCCATGAGTTGTCTTCTGACTCCCTCAGGTTCACTGTGGCATTCACACACACACACACACACACACACACACACACACACACACACACACACACAATCAATCCATATATCTATATTATATGGATTACCATGCCCAGAATCCATCATGTCTCTTCTTTCTCTCTCTTTCTTTCTTTCTCTTTCTTTTTTCTTTCTTTCTTTCTCTCTCTCTCTTTCCTTCCTTCCTTCCTTCCTTCCTTCCTTCCTTCCTTCCTTCCCTTTCTTCCCTTTCTTTTTTCTGGCTCGTTGAGACAGGGTTTCTCTATATAGCCCCAGCTGTCCTGGCACTCACTCTGTAGACCAGGCTGGGCTCAAACTCAAGAGATCGGCCTACCTCTTCCTCCCAAGTGCTGGGATTAAAGTTGTATGCTACCACCATCCATGTGTCTTTTTTAATAGAACTAGAAATGTCACTTGCTGTTAATAGAAGAAATCCTGAGTTGTATAGAAATCTTTTTTTTTTTTTTTTGGTAATGACTTATTTTTATTTTCTGCTTGCATGTCTGATGGAGACTTAGTAATACACACACACACACACGTATAAATTACTATTTGTGCTGGTTAGGTTTTTGTCAACTTGATACAAGCTTGGGTCATCTGGGAAGAGGGAACCTCAACTGAGAAAATGCCTCCACCAGACTGGCCTCTAGGCATGCCTTGGGGGCATTTTCTTAATGGATGACTGATGTGTGAGGATTTGACCTGCTGTGGGTGGTGCCTGGTTTACAGCAAAAAACAAGCCGAGCAAACACGGGGGATAGACCAGAAGCAGCACTCCTCCATGCCTCAGTTCCTGCCTCCCAGGTCCTGTCCGGAGCTCCAGTCCCGGCTTCCCTTCGGGAAGGACTGTAAGCTGCAGAATACAATAAACCTTTTCCTCCCCAAAGTGCTTATGGTGTTTATCAGAACAACCCAAACCAAACCAGGCCAGTATCCCACCATGTGGCTATTCCATTTCATCCATCCTTCCAGATGGAAAAGATAATGTATCAGAGTCGGCTTTTAAAAAAGAAATAAGGGGTTGGAGATTTAGCTCAGTGGTAGAGCCCTTGCCTAGCAAGCGCAAGGCCCTGGGTTCGGTCCTCAGCCCTGGAGAAAAAAAAAAAAAAGAAATAAAAACATATCATAGTCTCAGATGTTCTTGCTTGGCATATGGCCCTCGTTCAAGGGCTGACTCAGTCCACCACCTTGCACACTTCTATCCTGTGAGGCATCATCTTAATTGCATCTAACTGGCAAAGAAGAAAGAAGTACGTGGTATACTTTCTTTTCCTTTAAAAGACGAATTTTACTCACACTCTTAGAGGTATTGGTCTATCAGACATGCAGGGTGTGGCAGACCAGAAAAGCCCGCATCCTGGCACCAGGAAGCAGGGAGGAGTTACTGTAGATGAGAACTTTCTCCCTGATGCTAGGGACCAAACAGGCCCATGTATGCGCTAGTCACCCATTAACCACAGCGCTTTACCCCTCACTTATAGTCATAGTCTTCAAAGCACACACATTCCTTCTACAGATTCCAACATGAGAGACACTAGCTGGCCACTCATTTACCATGTAGAGGGCAGAGAAGGCAACAAGAAATAGTCTAGTGATGTTTCCTACTGCCTGTGGTTTTAGAAGATGAGAAGAGATTTTGGTGGACAGTGGTCATCCCTGATAGGCATGTTGGGCAGCTCTGAATTCTAACCACACTCGCATCTTGTCATTCTGATACAACTCTCCCACACAGGTGGGCAAGAGGAGTCCCTCTGCACATACCTGGGACTGGCTCTTACTCTTCTGGTACATGTTCAGCTTTACTAGATATTGCCAAGTCATTTTCAAAGTAATTGTACCCATTTCCATTACATACACATGCACACACGTTCATATTGCTCAACATCCTATGTGTACCAAACACTGTTGCCCTTGTTTGTGTTATTCTAATGAATTTTAAAAGCTGAATACAGTGACCAGGCCAGGCTATGCCAGTCTTGCTGATTCCTGGCCTTGGGAAGGAAAAAGAAAAGGCCTGCTACAGGAGGCTCCCGGGAAACAGGCCATGCGCCCTGAACCCGCTCCCCTTTGCTGCCATCGTTGTGACCAGCAGATTTCAGGAGCCAAGGAATTATAAAAAGACTTGGAACTCCACCCCCGAGGCCTTGGCCATCTTCTGAGTCCCATGCGGTGTCAGCAAGGAGTATGACAGCAGAGAGGCAGCAAACAGAGCCACAGACTCTCTAAGTGAGTCATTTTATTTGCCATTGTCAAATATTATCCAAGTCCTTGTCACCGGAACTTGACACAGCTTCTCATTTCTCTTCTTCGACAACCCTCATCTACTACAGGAGCTTTAAGGGTGTTAAGGAGGAATAAAAACAGCACAAAGACGACATTTCCTCAACTTGTTTCAAAATGACCCCTTCTGGCAGTGCCCAATTCAAGTTTTAATGCCCCGTTATTGAAAAGTGGTCTTCACAAAGCACACATGATAAAGCTATTTAGAGGAGCACAGAGAACAGGGACTTGAGGGTGGCGAACAGCCTTTCCGAGTTTGAAAAGGTAGTATTTGTCCCCATCAAGGTTAACGTTGTGAGTGGCATATGCCACACAACAGGCAGGAAGAGAGGAGAACAGTATTTACACAGAAGGAGGAAGAGGAACCAGGAACACGACAACAAGGCTACTTACTCTAACCCATGTTCCAAAGATACCCACCCTCACAGGGAGAGAGCCCACTCAACACCACCAGACAGGCATGAGGTACAGAGAGAGACCATTCTTTCCCGCTCCAGAGAAGTATCTACATCTGGTATCCAAAAAGCTCACGATATAAAGCAGATAGAACTCCATATACAAAACAGTAGGACAGTATTCTCAGAGTACTCAGGGACAGAGGCGGGCCAATGCCCTGGCTGAGGACACACGTGGGCGTGGCCTAACGAAGAGGGCAAGCACACCTTGCTTTGCAACGCCAGTGGCCTTTCCAGAGGCCAGGGCACCGAGTCAACCCAGCGGGGGACTGAGTCGTTTCCCAACCCTTAAAACCAAGGAGTAAAGTCGAGCTTCCGGGGCACCGAAACCGGCAACCCAGCAAAGTGGGGCAGTGTTTACTACCCCTGCCCTGCCCTTGCTTCTCACCTTAGTGTTTGGGACAGACCCCTAAGGCTGTGTTTTCATGCCTGTGGGTCCAGTTAGTCCCTGCTCCAAGCATAGTGAGTGTCTAAGCTTTTTCATGCTAAATCATTTTCTTTCCTCAACAGTAAAATCAAATTACAGACAAGTATCCTCTGTCAGACTCTGCTTCCCGGGGTTCGG